TCCCCTTTTGTTGCCAGTTCAGTGGGTCCAGGTGTTTGAGTATCAGAGGGTTCCATCTCATTTCTCTTTGGGGTTGCTGTAGGTGATCTGGAAGTCTGATTTTGAGACTTATTTATGTGTTTTCTCATTTCGACTGTGGGGGGTGCTGTTGGCACCTGCACGGATCACCTCCTCTGAGCTGGGAGAGGTGGGGCAGGGGCCAGGAGCAGCGGTAGGGATGGTGACCCAAAAGCCCTTTCCTGTGGGCTGGGAGAGGCCTGGAGGGATGGTGGCTGGGAAACCCCTTCCTCTGGGCTGGGAGCAGCGGGAGGGATGGTGACCGGGAAGTCCCTCTCTCTGGACCAGGAGCAGTGGGAGGACGGCTCAGAAGCCCCTATCTCTGGGCCGGGAACAGTGGGACTCAGTACCTTGGTCTGGTGGTCTGGTGTCCTCTGCGCCTTGGTAATGTGGAATCAGGTGGCTGCCTGTCTGCAGTGGGGTGATCCGGTGTCTTCCGCGTGACTCATGACCTCGGTAGGGCGTGCACAGACCTGCCTGTCTGCAGCGGGCTGATTCAGCATCTTCCACGGGACTGGGTACCTCGGTAGGGCGTGGGCAGACCTGCTTGTCTGCAGCGGGCTGATTTGGCGTCTTCCTTGTGACTCAGGACCTCCGTAGGGCATCCATAAATATTTTAAATCTTTGCTTGGGCTATTATGATATCTATAATGAAGTGTCAAATGGGAAAATTAGCACACAAGTTTAATTCTTTCATCATGCATAGCTTAGTCACTTGGTCATCTTCAATAAGATATTGTGGTTTGATAATTGATATCCACAAACTAACGGCATGGAGTCCTATGAGTGAATCTCACTTTATGGCAGTGGATCACATTCTGAGTATGGCTTTTTATAGCCTCTGAGAATTTTAACATTCCCAATCATATACCTGAGAACAAAGTTTAAATCTCAGAATGCTTTTAGTTATTTAATATATTTCAAATGTTTTATTTCTGTTTTGAATTGATTCAACATCCTCTAACTATACCTCTCCTACCCATTGACTGCAGTTTTGTCAATATCTGTTATGTACACTGCTATTTTGTTTTTTTGTATATAGGTTAAGCCTTCACTTAAGATTATTGACTTGTAGTAAACTACTGTAGTAAACTATCATTTGATTTCCACTGGAATAAGTTCTAAGCAAGGGCCATATATTTGTCTTTTCCTTTGAATGTGGCAAAAAGAAAAGGTAGTAATTTTTTACTTCAACACTGATGGTTCTTCCTATCTGGGCATCTCAGAGTGATAAATCTTCATGACTGTCATATGACAAGGAACAATAGTTATCGACGTATACACATTTACAACCTTTTTATTTCCTCTTGTCCTCATTCTACATACTAATGTGAATTTTCTCTTTGTGCCCTCAGCTCTTCATTTCTCTCACTCTTCCATTGTTCTTTAAGAAAATTTATATTCTAGCCAACCTATGTCCCAAACTTTTGATGACAGAAATTAGAAAATATAGCCAAGAAGATAATTTTAAAGACTACAGTATTCTGCTTTGCTGGGGTATTTCCAAATACTTTAATTATTGAAAAAAAAGAATGAAAAAGAACCACAGCAGAAAAATAGAGAAAATAAAACAAAACCTCCTCAAAAACTGCGAGAGTCTTAACTTTATCTACTAGAATAAATAAAGAAATCAGAAGTGAGCAGTAGATGTGGATATTCGGAAGATGTAAAGTTCAAGTGTGAAACAGAGAAACAGTCTTTAATAGGACTGAATTTCTTTTAAATTTTGGGTTATGAGTTGGGTATCCTTTAATATTTTCATTGAAATATGTTTTGAGTCCTTTAATTACTTTTGTTGGCTTTATTTTGTCTGTTGTGTCTTCCATCCGGTTACTAAAAGGACCCCAAACCTATGTGTCTATGTGGATTTCTCTAGCATTTAAACATGTCTCTAACACTTTGTAGGTTTTCAAAGTCAGGGAGCATCTCTTTGTGTTATATTTTGATCTCCTGACAATTTGTCAGGATTCACCATTCCCTTCTTCTGAAACACTGTTCTTTTTCAGACTGTATAAAGTCATTATTTATTTTTCTTTCTATTTTCTTCCAACTCTCTGGACACTCTTCACCTATGAGTATTAGCCCTCTCTGCAATATAACACTTCAAGATAACACCAGGATTCTGGTCTAGATCTCTCTCCTCCCCTGAACAGCTTCTCCTGTGGTGTGCTCTTAATCCTATAGCTTTAGAAAATACCTATCATTTCATAAATCTCAAATTTAAATCTGTATTCCAAAGGTAGATAATTACATAACTTGAAATTTATTCATGGTGTCATTCTAGGTCCCAAAATTAAAATTCTAAAATTGAATCTGTTTTTATCCTTAAAGCTTCATCAGCTGTGTTTTAGCAAACAGGATGACCATACTTTCAGTTCTGAAATACATTCCCAGGAGTCTTTCTTCTTCATTTTTTTTTAAATTCCTACATGCAATCCATCAATATATTTCATATACGTACATGTCTTTCCATCTTCCCCAACATAATCCTTGGTTACCTTCTTATGTCTCAACATTCTTCCTCTATCACTCTTATTCAGCTGAATCTCTAACTATTTACGGAATAATATGAAAATACATACACACACAAATTGGAACACAAGCTAACAAAATATCCAGTGGCTTCTTATTTTCTTTCAGAGAAAATATCAATTTCTAATGTTAGCAGGTAGGGACTTGTGATCTAGCCTATCTTATAGATCCAGTCTCATTTTGGTTTCCCTCTCCATGGTCCAACCACCTGAACCAGATTTACTTCTGAAAATGTTCTACCTATTTCTCTTCTTAAGGACTTTATTCATATAATTCCTGCTCTTTTAAAATCTTTTATTTCAATTAAGTCCAGCTAGAATTATTACAGGATGTTCCTTAAATATAACTTCCTCAAACTTTCTTTGATTGTTCTTAATAAAAATCACTTCATTCTACAATATTTCCAGGAGTATCTGTGTCCTTTATATCATTTGATCATTAACTTATTCATTAGTCATTGTCTTTATCCTCACTGAATGGCAAGTTATGAAAAGGTTGGGAATTTGTTTTACTCACCAGTTACAGTGCTTGGTATAAAGAAATCATTCAATAAATATTAACTAAATGAAGAACTTTTGAAAAATGAATTTATTTCCTTTGACCTAACTTGGCAGGTAATTTTTGGATTTTCAATTTGCAGTCTTTTAAAATAAGTATTAAGAGCAAAACATTTTCAAAAAAACTCATTAATTACTTATATAATTACAATACCACTTATTTTGAGTTTACTCTTTCTAGTCAATACAAAAGGTTCTCTCTCTCTTTTACATGTTCTGCAGCATGAACTTTAGTATTATTTCTAACTCTGCTTAATAAAAATAAATACATTTAAAATCTGATTTCATAATTTTCTAGAGCTAGGAAAATACAGGAAAATACAGTTCCACAATGTCATAAAGCTTCATAGATTTCACCCTCCTGTCTGAGCCAAACCTGCCAAGCAGTTATCCTGGTATTGTGGTGAATGAGTATTCACCTTTTTCTTGGAGCACTGCCTGCTGTCAGGTATAGAGCTTATCACTGTCTTCCAGAAGAGTGAAAATCCAAGGACCAACAGATATTAATAAGAGCCTCCAATTTTTCCAACCTTCCCAGTATGCAGTATATATTAACTAAAATTCGCATGCTGACCTAGTCTCTTTGATAACTTCTGATTTCCCAAAGGAGAGTGGGAAATGACCAATTATACCACCTACTCAGGTTATCAGAAACTTAATACTTTTTCTTTATAATGATTAATGTGTCTAGTGATCCATCAACATTCTATATTTGACAAATTTTGGTAATGCACAAATATTATTTTCTCATTTTGGAAAATATTATTTTCTCATTTAATGGCTAGAAATAGCACAACAGTTTAAGATGAGATGAATTTATTCTGAGCAGCAGTAGATGGTCCAGAAGCCTTAGGAAAGGACTCATTCTTAACACTATATCAAATCTTGTGTTAAGTAGCATCTGATCATACCAGCAGTGGCTATCAAGGTAATCTAAAGCAGTATCTAAATAAAGCAATCCTGAGGAATTTCTGTAAAATCAACAAGGTAGGTATAATATAGCCACAGCAATTAACCAATTCTATGCACAATACTCTCAAAAAAACTCTTAAAGGGAAAAATTTAAAAGTTGATCATTTTAAAAATTAAGTTTAATCAGATTCTTAAAGTAAGTTTCTTAATCTTAATCTGATTTCACAGAAATCATTTCCTTCACTCTTCTTCAATTTACTAGAAGAAACATTGGGAGAGGTAATTTTTTAATAAGTCAAAATGGAACTTCTAAAAGTAATTAAAATATTTTGTTTGTTTCTAAATTGTTTTTAAGAACCAGGTATTAATTTTAATCATATAGTGACTGCATTATAGCTGTCTTAGTCACTTTTTTCATTGCTGGGAAAAAATATCCAACACCTGCATGTTAAAGGAGGAAAGGTTGATTTTAGCTCACCTTTTGTACAGTTTTCAGACCATAGTTTCCTGGTTCCAAAGCAGGGTGGCATGACATAGGAACATGGCAGAGGAGGGCTATTCATGGCATACCAGACAGGAAGAAAAGACAGATTAAAGGAGGAGAAAGATAAACCCTCACAGGGCACACCTCCAGTGACCAACCTGCTCCCTTTAGGCTTCACTTCCCAGCATTATTTTTAGCTATAAACATCACTATAATCCACTGATGAGTATCACACCACATGATCCAATCACCTCCCAAAATCCCCACCTATGAATACATGAGGCTTTGTGGGGATATCTAGATATAAACAACAGTAGCTAATTTCAACAGATGAACCCAACCCAACTTTATATTTTCCAATATCATTTCCCTTGTGTGTTTCCTTATCTGTTTTAAGTTTGGACTACCCACTCAACTAATATTCTCTCTCTCTCCCCCCCCCTCCTGTGATTTTTAAGGTTAAGACACAGGATGCCATGAATCTTCTGCCTATATACCAAATTGGAGAGAATTTAACTGACAACATGTAATAGTTCTTACTACCCTAAAACTACCAAATTGTGAGAAAGGTTCAACTTGTCACCCAGAGGAGCTATTTGGAGAGACAGATACATGCCCCGCTCCTAACTTTTCCAATTATCCCAGCTCTGCTCCAAACATTTGAATGAAGAAGTCAGCCTGGATGTTCAATGGAGAACAATCTTCAAATAAGCATAGTCTGCACATAGCCATGTCATTCCATGAGAATTCCCTGATGAAACCAACCAGAGTCCAGTCAATCCTTGGGACTACACAAGATGATAATAAAATGTTGTTTAAACCTCCAAGTTTTGGATGGTTTATTATACAAAAATAGTTAACTAGAATACCTTAATACTAAATTTGACAAAGGTAACAGTGTTTTAGCAAGCTCATTTTGCTAATAGATATAAGTAAATAATGATTGGAAATGATCTCTTCCCATTTATGAAAGTATGCATATTGTTGTTTTCTTGATAATGAAATATAGATGGAATGCACACTTGTATGCTGAGGGATGAAGAAACACATAAAATTAAATGTTGAGTTTAGTGGTATTGTCATATAGTAAGAAATGTTTTAGTTCCTGCAACAAAGCTCCTAAAGGAGCTTTGCTAGGAGAAGCTTTTGTTCTAACATTTGGTCTTTGACTTCAGTTCCTGACATAGAGCTTCTAACATTTTGGTAATTTCCTGATGATAGGAGTGTTTGAAACTGAACTTCTAAAACTTTTGAGATTTTTTTAAATAACGTAAGTGTCTTTTGCTCTAACAAGATGACACTTGGTGGGCCCCTGTTGAGCCTCAAGATGGACGCTGGTTGTCATGGCAATCAACCATGTGGTTGGAGGGTTAGAACTCTTAATTTCATCTTCTTACCTCCTGAAAGGGGAAAGAGACTGATTATTGAGTTGATCATAAATGATGTAATCAATCATAACTACACAATTAAGCCTTCATAAAATCTCCAAATGGCATAATTTGGAGATCTTTTGGGTTGGTGAGCATGTACGGGTACCTGGAGGGTGGCTCACTATGACAGGGCATGGAAGACATACACCCTTTGCTTTATGCATTACCTCCATCTGGATGTTCATCTGTATCCTGTACAATACACCTGTGAGTATAAGGACAGTATTTCCTAAGTTCTATGATTTGCCCTATCAAATAAGTCAAACCTATTGAGTGTACTAGGAACCACCGATTTATAGCTGATTCATCAAAAGTACAGTTTCCAACCAAGGACTTGCTACTGACATCTGAAGTAAACAGTAGTCTTTTGGGCTTGAGAATTGCATCTGTGTGATTTGACTCTAATTCCAGGTAGATTGTGTCAGAATTAAACTGAATGGTGCGACATTCAGTCAATGCTTGATGTGGAATTCCTGGGGAAATAATTCATGCACATTTTGACGACTATAAGTGAAATATTCTGTATTGAATGGTAAGTATAAGCGTATCAAAAACAGTTTGGTTTCACGAATTACTAAATGAAAAATCAACAAAAATAAAAGGACTCCAAAATTATGAAAGGAAAGCTATTGAATTTTTCACTGTTATTCTGCCAGAAAAAGAAGCATATTTTCATGTCTCTCTTTTATTTTATTTGAAAATGTATAAGAGGTTATTTAATTTATTGCTGGGAGATACACTTACATAAGCATACCTCAGTATCAAAAATGAGCAGAAGCCCTTTGGCATTCACTGTTTCTAAAACCACAGGTAACTATGGTAGCAAAACATTAAATTACACATTCTATTATGGAGGCATTGCATGCATAGTCTTAAAAGAAAAATTTTCTTCTGTTCAGAAGAAAATTTCTATGTAAAATGACAGAGGTAACAAGTAATTAAAAGCATATGATACTATATTACGTTTCTCCTGATAAAGTAGAAGTCTGCATAAAGATCGAGGCACACAGAAAACATGAAATATATATGATAGAGTAAGCTTTAAGGTACATTTTTATTGAATTTAATTTTTTAAAACATTTTAAAGTAAAATAAATCATTTTCATACTCAAATGTAGCACATTTAAGTCCCTAAGGTATGAAAAATTTTATGTTGATAATATTATTTAACTCTGCACAATTACTTAAAAATCTTTCAGTCTGTTATTAGAGTTATGGCATCTGCTAACATATTAATATTAAAAAGGATTTACTGGCTTAAACTCTAACACACATTCCAAATTCCAATGAATGTTTCAATAGGTACCAAATATTTTCTAACAATTTTAGCTGCTGGGTTGAAAATATTCTGATTTTGAAATCAAATAAAGTGTGTTGATTTTTAACATTTTAAAAAACTCATCTGTCTGCTTTTAACACAACAGATGATGTGGGCATAATTTCTTTTCAGAAATGAAAGTTTCACAAATTTAACTTTGAAGAATATGTTCGGAATATTTAGCTTTAATGTAATCACAAAATACCACTATTGAAATGAGGAGCAGTACTGTATTTCTTCAGAAAGACTGTTTGGAATTAACTTCAGAACTAGATTGTCCTTGAAGAAAACAAAGATTTATTGTTGCAACTAATACTCTGGATTAACCACACTTAAAACTCTGTAGCTTTCAAAACAGCCCAAATACTACAGCAAGCCAAACCAAACCAAACTGAATAAGAAACAATTCGCAATGATGGAGAAAAAAAAAAAACAGACACAAAACAAAAACCAGCTCTAGTTGTGAATCCTTGGGCTGATACTAATGTGTTTCTGCTTAGCTAAGCAAACTATAAACATTTGGAGAGCTATTTTTTTCTTGTAACCAGCTATAGAAATTAAGTAACTTATTTTCAAAATTTGCTCCAAGCTGTCAGAGAAGAAATGTTTTCTGTTAAAGCTGCAGGATGCAAAATCAAAAGTCATTACTGGTGTCCTTAGATATGTTTCTAAGGGTTTTTATATTTAGTCATCCTGAAAATATCCCCTCACATAGTGTTTGACTCTGGGTTCTCGTCTACTATCATGAATGATTTGCACCCCTAAGAATCCATCTCTATGATTCTAATGATTTCAGTAAGATTATGTTTGCAATAATAAAAAAGATGTAAGGTAGAGTCATGCCCTTAAAGAATCTTTACATATCTGCTTAATATTCTTGACTCCCTATAAGTAGGAGGACCATGTATTATACTGTAATGTGAAGCACAAATCTAAGCCAGTCTCTGCTGGACTGAAAGGACAAGAAGCCTATTCAAGTCTTGTTGACCAGCTGTTTCATGTAGACATAACCTTCTCAATTATCACAGTTCTTAAAGAGCTGTGTAATGTCATTGTGAAGGACTAGATAACATTTGTGTTTACTAAGATTAAACTTAGCAAAAGCAGAAACACAATCATCTTAAAACACTGCAATACAATGCAAATCACCACTCCAAGGCTTGTCTCCAGTAGCCTGTTTGAGAGTCTCTTCTAGTAATTTTTGGGAAGGTGATTAACGTTGAACAATACCCTTTAGAATATTCTCCCCCGTGAAAGAAGTCAAAACAGTTGTGAAACCCAAGACTGCCAAGGTGGTACTCTATATACTTGGATGTAGTAGTACTGGGCCAAAGGAATGAAAATTCTTTACTGCCTTCCAAGTTTGTGTGAGTGCATACTCGCTGCTTAAGACTGATGTTGTGTATCTGGAAACAACTGTTATTGATTCAGAAAAATGTTGCAAAAATAGTAAGTTCAAAGATGGCTATAAAGATTGCTATGAAACTGCTTCCTTTTCCATAAAAATACCAAGGAATTTAGCTTGAATATAGCACAATTTTGACATGGTATTATTCTTTATGTACCACATCATCTGCTCCACAACTTCTAGTATGTAGTGGATAATCAGTGTCCCAACACTACTTTAAATGGAAATGTTAGTGCAAATCAACAAAAATTTGATCTTCTTGCCATTTTCTCTTACAATGGGGACCATCATGTAGTGCTTTTTGCCCTTTGGGGAAATTAAACGCAGTATTCTTTGGCTCACAGTTAAGAAAAGTCTCATTCTCTTCTGAAAAAAACAAAACTAAGACCCTGCAGAGAAACATGGAATGATTTGTAATAATTTCCAAAACTCACAAATGTGCCACAATAAAGTCTTTCAATGTCTGCTGTTAGAACAGAAAAATAATCTAATCATGCTGTGGGTCTTTTGAAGGTACACTTATTCCTTGTTCATGAGAGGACACTAATTGTGTCACAGAATTATAACATCTGTTTTAACATTACCACTTTTGAAATTACTAAGTAATTAAGTCTTTGATGGGAATATTCTTTATTGTTCTAAAAATTACATTAAGCCAATGCCTTCAGACTCCCTTCACTAGCTAGGACAATGGGTAAGGACATAGGCTTTGACAAAAACAACCATGTTACAAGTCTCCCTTCTTTCATTTCCAGCTGTGTGCCTTGAGTAATTGCTAAGCTTTGTGATTCACTTTTCTCATTGGTAAAAGAATAAAAAATTCTAACTACTTTGTTCTAGATAGCAAGAACACTATATATCATTAGCTAGGATTATTATGTAATTAAAGGAAACCATGAATGATGAGTAAGCGCCACTGTCACTGATTTTTAATCATTATTTAAAAGTTAATGACTTTTGGCTGCAATTATTAAAATTGTCAGCAGTAGTTGCACAGAAAAACACTATCATTACAGATTACTCAAAATTTAGATATCTAATTAAGATGATAGTTTATCCCCTACACAAGAGAACCATGTATTATGAACTACAATATTGAGCAGTGACTTGACTCCAAATCTTGTGATTAATTTTCAAATCCTAATTTGATTGATAGAAAAAGAACTCTTTCAGTTTAGCACAATATTTACCACTGCACAGATGCTCAAATGTTGGTTTCTAAACAGAAAGGAAAACCTTAGATCTTACAGTTATACAAAAAACTGACACTGGAGGGGAAAATATGTGTACTACTCTAGTTTTCTGTGATTCATTATCAATTTGGGAAAGTATACAAAAATAATTGTTATCGATAGAAAATCATATTTGCTTCAGAGTCAGAATGATTTAAGTCCAAGCCTACCTTCTGGTATTTAAAAACATAACCCACTTAAGAGAATCATTGGCTTATTTACTAGTAAATAATTATAATAATACGTGTTAAGGGTAATCATAGAGATTAAATGCAATAATGATTTTAAATTGCAAACAACTGTGATAGGAATAAAAAGCTACTGAAAAATAAATGACCTTTGTTTTTAAAGAAGTTATAGGCAACTTGGGC